CAGGTAATACCATTTGTCAAAATTCACATTACTATAGATTAATGCATGCACTTTGTAAGTATGCTCAAAGGGGCATGACTATTAGTTGATATCCTATCCCTCTGGATGGGGATTAGTGCTGTTTTGGAATAATATTGTTCTGGTATAGCATATATACCCTATCCCAAAGGAATCTGCAAGCCTACATTGAATTCAGAATCACAGTCAATTCTTGGGTTCCTTTTGGACACAGATTTAGCATTATTCTTTTTTTGGTCAAGTTTTTTATTTTATTTTACATATACACATAAATGTGTGAACAGTGTAGCATCTGGGTATCATACATGTTGGTGCAATTAAGAATAATAACATTAATAATATTTGTTACGATATTGCTTCCGGTTTGCCAGGCTTCGGCGGCGGCAGGGATTCGCGATCCTGCGCAATCCCTGTAGCGCTAGCCGTCTTGGTGCCTCTGATCCCGACGGGTCTGGAGGATAAGGCTGCCCCGTAGAGGCAGCCAAAGATAGAGGGGATCCGGAAAGGGTTTGGGGGTATCGCAGACCCCCTCCCCAGCCGGCAAACCCCCCTTTTCTCAAGGCGGTGGAGCGGCGGTTAGCAATGGCCGCCACAAAGAAGCCGGCAGCTGGACAAGATAGTGCTGGAGGAAGAAGGAGAAAGTTTTGAAGTGAAAGTTCTTTGGCTGAACCGGGATCTTAAGATACATCTAATATCCTGAAAACTCTGATTTTTTGAAAGATACTTTGTTTCTAGAGGAGTTTTTTAAAACGGCGAATGGAAGTGCTGAAAGAGAAAGTTTACTCTCCTTCCCTACGGAGTTAACAAATGGACATTGAAAAACCTGCTTTTTTATAGAAGGTAAAAATTTAAAGCTTTTTGTTACAAGTGGGAAGGGAGAGGACAAAAAAAAAAATTATATTAAGATCTTGTTGGAGGAGATGCCTGGAAGATTTTGAGACTAGAAGCTAATTGCAATAAGGCTTTAAAATACAGACTGGGTTTTTTTCCCCAATTGATATTACCCCAGGAAGAGAAAGTGTAAAGGGAAGAACTTTGTGCTCTGTTTGGATTGCTTGATGACTCTGGGACTTTGGGGAACTGTTTTAAGCTTTGAAATATCTTGATTGTTTTAAGAAGAAGAAGAGGGAAAAAGAAAAAAGAAAAGGTTTATAATGGCTTTATCTGTTGATGAATTAAGAAAGGAATATGGAAAAACAAAGAAAGAAGGCAAGGACGCTTTGGAAGAAGCCTTTCACTTTTTAGAAATGACGCTTGCTATTTATCAGCAAACACAACAACTGATGGAGGAAGCAGAAGAAGAAGAAGAAGCCATCTTTAATGAATCCAAAATTTTGATTAAGAAAGAAAGGAGAAAGAGAGGAAGGAAAATGAAGGACTTAAGACCTTAAAAAACACCCAAGAAAGAGAAAAATAAGATGCAAAATCAATACAATGTTAGAAAACAAAAGAAAAGAGGAATACAACAGAGAGGTGAAGCTAAAAAGGCGGTGGTTAGGAGGGGGGGGGGGTAAAAAGGCTAGGTGGGATAAGAAAGGAAGGGAAAAGGGGGGAAAAAGCCAGAAAGGTATGAAACAAGATGGGAAAAAGCAAATTTTTTTAGGGATAAAGGGTAATGTATAATTTTTTTAAAAAAAAGATTCTGCAAGGTACATAAGATAGTATTGTAGTATTTGTATTAGAAATAGAAAATTAGAATTCTATAAGATCTAAAAAAATATTAAAATATTAAAATGCTTAATAATGATAGATTTTAAGATTTAATAAAATATTAAAGAGAATGTTTAAAATACTTAGTTCAATTATAGAGTTCAATTGACTATTGTGTTGATGTTATTATTATTGCAGCATTTGTCTTTGAAATAGATAATTGGAATGTTACAAGATTTAATATTTAATTATGTACTTAATTATTTTATAGATTTACTATTTTCTCTTTTTCTTAAAATTTAGTAGGTAGAATATACTAAGCAGAATCAGATTGGGAACTAGGTGTTATTTTAAATGTCAATTTAAGAGAACGATAGAAAGGCATCATACTTCGATTAGTGATTTCAGGAGAAATCTTTTTATTTTATTTTATAGGGAATGAGATAAATAGATAATTGGAAAAGAATGGACAAAAGATACAAGTATAATGATTTAAACTAAGATGAAATAAATAAAATAGAATTAAGAAGAGTGAAAAGCGGGGAGAAGCTATATAGAAGATATAGAATGGTAAACAAGATAGGTAATGGTATATAAGATGAGCATGAATTTAATTGAAGTCCATATAAAGAGAGGTAATCCGGGGCCAAGCCACTTTCTAAAAAGAAGTTTTATGTTTTTGTGTTTTGTGTGTTTATGTTTGTTTAAGAATTAATAAAACCTTGGAGGAATGTCAGATGAGAATAATTGTAAACAAGTCAGAGGGAAATATGAATATGATGACTATAAAATGAATAAATATAGAAAAGAAATGTAATTGAATAAGAATAAGGAGAAATAATGAGAAATTTGCTAAAAGATATTTATGTGTCCATATGGAAATGGGATAGATTAGAATTATGTTGTATAAAATAATGTTTTATCTGCCTTGTAAAAATTTATAATGGAAAGAGGTTTTATGTGTTTAATGTTTAATGATGTTTTGTTTGTCTTTAAAATTAATAAAATTTGTCTCAATAATAATAATAATATTTGTTACATTCATTATTCTGTAAGAAGTCTATTTTCAAAAGCTGTTAGATCCACACTTGACTGGCACAGGGAGTTGAACCATGAAAGAGTACAGAGAGCTGGTTTACTTTTGTTTTAATCTCCCTCTACTGGATCAATTGGTGTTCAGGATGAGTCAGGCTTCTCAGCCAGAGACTGGATTGGAGACTTTGTAATACCGTCCAAAGTAGAATGGCCTTGGAAAATAGTGACCTGGTCTGGAAGGGAGGAGATATTTCTATGTCGGTCTATTGGCCAATTGGTACCAAGTGGATCCTATCCCCTTGAGGTCATGTTTTGAACACTGATTGAATGGTCTCAGAAAAGGTTGCTTTGGGTATGGGTTGGGGGTCAGATTGGGGAAAGACCTTTGGAGAATATTATATCACCACAATATTCTTTTGGGACAGAAATAACTGGACTACAGTCTCATGATCCATATTTGTTGCTGGGTAAAGTCTTGCACTCATAGAACATAGAACAATAGAGTTGGAAGGAACCTCAGATGTTTTCTACTCCAACCTCCTGCTTGAGCAGGAGACATATCATTTCAAACAAATGGTTGCCCAGTCTCTTTTTGAAAGCCTTCAGTGATGGCCACAATTTCTGAACCCACAATTTCTGAAGGCAAGCTATTCCATTGGTTAATTGCTCTCACCATTAGGAAATTGCTTCTCTCCTTGGTTAGTTTCTGTTGTTTATTGTGTTGCTTTTTGGTGCTTTGGAAAATAGTTTGACTCCTTTGTAGGAGCCTTTCAAATATTGGAACAGTACTATCGTATCCCTCCAGTCCTTCTTTTCATTAGACTACACATACCCAATTCCTCACATATCACACTGGCTGGAAAGTGACACTAAAATGCACAAAATTGGATTCTGGTCTCCACTTATAGCATCCATGTCTTCTTTGTATCCCTATCCCAGATATTATCACTTGTTGGGTTTTCTCCTCTTATCTTTCTTTCTCCAATTGTAAGAAAAGCTGACTGCTGCACTTACTGCATTGTTTGCTCAGAGAGAAAATAAGCTGTTTTGTTGCTTAGAATGGAAACTGCTAGTAGTGAGGGGAAAGCAGTTCAGTTTTAGCAAATTTTGGGAATATTTTGAAGATGTATGAAGGAGTTCCAAAAAGGAATCACATCCTCCATTACTTACTGCAAATTGCTATAATATAAACATTCAGTTAGTACCCATCCCTTTCCTAGAAGAAAAATATTTTGAGAAATATTAAAAAGGCAGAATATTATATTTCCCTGGAAACATGTTTTCTTAGAGGCAGGAAGCAGACTCACTCTTAATAACTCCCACCTTTCTTAATAGCCCTAAGCAGATATCAGCATTTAAGAGATAAAGAAATAGCTAGCTTAAGCAAATTCCCTGCAGCAAGGTCTGAACAAAGGTAGGGTTAGCACTCAGCCACAATAGGAATTGCCCAACAAGCCCCTTCATTGCATCACACTCCAAACTTCAACAAAACTTAGCTCAGACAACCTACAGAGTTGGTTGACCACATGACCCCTACAACAACCAATAGAACAGAACAATAGCACAGGAACAGGAAGCTCAAGTTCAAAGCCCAAGATAAGGTATAAATACCCCCACTCTCAACCCCCAGGTGGTCAGCTGCCCAGAACTCATGTGGTTCTGCTTCATCAATAAATGGACCCTCTTTCCAATCAGCCTTCAGTCTCCATTTTGTCTCCACTGCCTTTCTCCCAGCTTGGAACTGGATCTGGATATTTATTCCAACACATTTCCTCTGGAAATGAAATGAGATGAGGAAAATCCTGGCTGGTTGGAATCTTGAACTTGAGTTCACTAGAGAGCAACTTCATATGTTCTTAAGCAATAATTGTGTACAGTGGGACCTTGCTTCTCAGTAAATAGGAACCATCCAATCTTTTTGTAATTTGGAAGTATATAAACATTAGGAAATAAATTAAAATCACTAAATAGCCCCAGAGCCAAACTACACTGCCTGTGTTTATCAGCAGAGATTGTAATACAAACTTGGATTGTTAGACTTCTGGTCAGCTCCAAAGTCCAAATCTTGTGGTTCTTACCATCCTACCTCAATACAAGAATGAGAGATAAGAAGAGCAGCCACAGAATAATGAACATCCTCATATACCCAATGCTGACCAGGATGGGATACGAATCCACACACAATGGATTAGCTTACCTTACCTTCATTACCTTAACCATTCATCCACCTCATCTACTTATTTACCATCAAAGAGATGGGGTGAATAATGCATTTTCAAAAAGCCTCTTTCACTCACCTGGTGATTTGATGGGTAGGCCTATGTAATTACGCTGCCTATGTATAGAAATGGACTTGCCATTGCCTTCTTCCAGAACAATTTTCATTTTAAAACTTCCCAGTGTTGATATTCTCAGGAGGACTAACTAGAGCCAATCCAGGTACTTTCTAAGTCCAGAAAAAGATTAGCCAATTTCAGTAAGATATACAACATCATTTAATTGTTAAAGTGGTTTCTTGAATATATAAAACTGTACGGTTGAAAGATATTGAATAATATTGCTGTAGGAATAATTGTTCTCATGAGAAAGCCTCTCTCCTCCCCCTCCCAGAACAGACAATTTAAAGTAGAAAATCTAAAGTACACAGTTTAGAGTAGGAAGGCTGGAGAGTGGAAAGAAGATGCAGACCAGGGCTATCAAAGGGGAGGCATGGTGGAATCATGTCTTTGAACGCCACACTTTTTTTAGCTGCTTTGTATGTGTAACAAAAGATGCATTTAGAAAAAACATCAGGGCTTCAATCAATCTTGAAGGCACCACACACACACACACACACACACACACACACACCACTTACTACTTTACAACATTGTTCATTCTAATTAATGTTTTGATTTTTATTAAAGATGTTGCTTTCCATAATTTTAGCTGAACACAGAGGTCACCTTGTATTAAAAATTTGACTTGGAATAATTTTCAGAAGGCTAAAATAAACTGGGTGAATTGTGCCACCTGCTGGTTCTACATTCTGCCTGCAAATTGTTTGGAAAGTCAGAGAGGCACAAAATCATTTTCTATCCTATTCTCCACAAATATAAAGAAATACAATCATTGAGAAGCAATGGCTAGTTTTCAAAATATTCAGACAGTAGCAAACAGTCATGATTTTTCTGTTCCATTGGATGTGCCCATTATAATACATGTTTCAGAGGCAATATTTAGCTTCTGCAATATTCCAGATGCTTTTAGTCATTGTTCCCTCTGCAGCTTCTTTGCAGTTCCTTTCATTTGCAGCAGTGTTGCCTGCCATTTGTGCAAGTGCCAATCACTTGTTCGTGGTGGAAACAAACTCTCCGGCAATGCCCATGAATGTTGCGGCATGCCAAGCTGTCATAAAGGTTCCCCTTTGCTATTCAAAACAAAAAACAAAAAAAAGAAGAAAGACAAAAAAAAAAAAAGAAAGAAAGAAAGAAAGAAAGAAAGAAGGAAGGAAAAAAAGAAAGAAAGAAGGAAGGAAAGAAAGAGGTGTTAATTAGTCTGGAAAGAAAATTTGCAGGAACACTGGGAAAATGATTGTTCCTAGATTGTGCTGGTACTGGTGCAGAACCCAAATTTAACATCTTGTTATATAAAATATACTTGACTGTTAATAGCCTTCCTTGTGACATTCTATGGAAGTGAAAGTTGAACTTTAAACAAGCAGAATAGGAAGAGTATTGATATCTGTGAAATTTGCTGTTGAAGAAGATTCCTGAGAATATTGTTGACAACCAAAGAAACACATCCATGCACCATTGAACAAATCAACTGACAGTTCTCCTTTGAAGCACAAAGGACTAGACTCAAATTATCCCATTTCAGACACATTATGTGAAGAAAACCCAACTGTCTGGAAATGGCTCCAGTGCTGGGAAAGACAATGGAATGGGATGATTAGGCGCCAACCCAAAGCAACTAGCAGCAAAGTGGATGGACTCAATTACTTTGCATTGAATGCAAAGCTTCAATCACACAGTCGCAGTCAATGACTTGACTGTTTTGACCTTCTCCCCCATGGATATTCCTGAATGCAGCAAGAAAGATGGGGATGCAGGATTCTTCCTTCACAGCAAGTGATAGATTTGTTCTATTTAGTCTCAATTGTCTTTTAGCATCAGCTATCCCACGTATTTATAGCAGAGGGTGGAGAAGCAAGGACAAATCCATTGGGTTTTCTCTTCCATTATATGTCTGTTGTGACTTTAAGTGAACTGAATTTCCTTATTCTTACCTTTCCCCAGTTTCTTTTTTTGTAAGTGAAACCTAGTTCAACTAACAAAGCAACTGGCCTAACACCTCCTATGAAACTAATAAAATAAGAAAGCCCATCACCATCATTAATATCGAATAAAAATACAATTTACCTCCGCTATGTCTATCTACTGTTTGTCATTCCAAACCATATCCAGGCTGCAAAACCAGTGGATGGCAAGAAAGCATTGAGAATTTGCTTTATTTTCTGCAGCTCAGTTACAGTGTGGCATCTGATTAATCTAGGGGAATAAATTAGATGTTTCTAATCCTTATTTTACATCTGGAGGACAGAAGAAGCTAGACTAAAATTCTGACCTATTTACCCCATCCTGGTTGAGCCTTTGTTTCTCACCTGGAATAGGCTGGCAGAGAAAGAGGAAGAGGGCCCAAAGCATAAAAATGATCCTCATGTTGTTTTGGATGAATAGAGTCAGATGGTCTTAGCAGGAATGATCATGTGGAGTGTAACTGCTGAAAGCCTCTGCATTTATAGAAAAAGTTTGGGAAGCTTTTTCAGTGATAAGTGAGGAAGGTGGCCAAAACACTAACCATTTCAACATGGATTCAGACAAACATAACCTTTTGTGGGATGGTTTAGTCTGTTGTGACAAAGTTCAAACCAGTCTTCATGTGGATCCATGCCAGAAGTTTTTCCTCCACTTCTGGCTCTGTTTTAATCCATGTAAAACTTTAGGTTCAGCAGGTGAGTTAGCATGCAATGGAAGCATTTATGAAGGTCACTGATGCCTCCTCTGTACCATATGGATTATTTTCTTTTGTTCCCATCTGATTTCTGCTAGTTTTACTGTTCTTTTTGTCTCCTGCTGTTTTTCTTGTTTTGGACATTTTAAACAACATCATTGGGAGGTCAGGTCTATATATGCAACTTGAATCTACTTCCTTGTAATTTCAGCTTTTGGTTCTGGTTCTGCTCTCTGGGTGATAAAAAATATTTCACTTCCTTCTCTTACCTTTAGATATATGAAGATTGTGACCTTATCTCCTTTCAGTTTTCTCTCCTGCAGGCTAACATACCTGTTCCTCCAGCGATTTAAGTTTCTAATCCTTTCATCATCTTGGTAGCTGAAATCTTGTCTAGAACAGTATTCTAAATGGAGTCTGACTAAGGCAAAGTTGAGTGAAACAATTATTTCCTGGATTCTATGTTCCCATTAGTAAATATCCAAATCACACCTGCCATTTTAGCAGCTGCATCACTGTTGCTTGGTATTCACCATGGGATTTACAAGAACACCCAGTTTGTTTTCATATACAGTATGAAATCATCCTATATTTGTGCTTTTTTAGTTTTAACTGCAGATGTATGGCTTTATATTTCTTATTGATGTTCCTCTTGTTCAGTTTGTTTCACTGTTCTGTCTTATACAGATCTTTTTCAATCATCTTTCTTCTAAAATAATAACTGGTTCTAGTTTGGGTGATCAGCAGGTAACATTTAGACCAGGGGTGTCAAACTTGATTTCACTGAGGGCCGCATCAGGGTTGTGTTTGACCTCAGGGGGATGGGGTAGTTGTGGCCAGGGTGGGTGTGCCCAGCTTGATATCACTTGTGTCAGGGGCGCCTGTGGCCCGAGCACTCTGCCAGCAAAAACGGAGCTTGGGAGGGCTGCATCTTCACTGGCAGAGGCACCGTGGGTCAGTCCTTCGCTATTTCCCGGGTGGCCCTGTGGGCCAGATCTAAACACCCCGCAGGCTGGATTCAGCCCCAGGGCCTTGAGTTTGACACTCCTGGTTTAGACAGTTCTTAGGCTTTAGGATAAAGCTTAAATTAACCCCGGATTAGCAGTATTTGCTGAATATTCTGCAGAAAAGGAATAATGTTGTTGCTGCTGTTGCTAATGGACAATTCCAGGACAAAGCTGATGACACTCTACTTAATACATTTTTAATCTAATATGGAATGATTTATGAGTATGTTTTGGATGTGGTCATTTATTCAGTTATGAATCCTTCCATTCAATTGTTTTATCACGTTACATTTTATTAATAGAATATCATGAGAAATGTCAGATGCTTTGGTGAAGTGAAAACGCATTGTGGGAATTGCATTTCATGGGTCTATAAAACTAGTAACTGTTTAAAAAAGGAAATCAAGCTAGACAAGGTAGGACTAGCTTGTGATTTCTTAGTTCTTGTTAGTTGCTGCCTTCTCATCCAATATATCCTGCTCCAGAAATTTGTCCAATATAGACAAGAAGTTAACAGATTTGTAATTTCTGCTCTTTTTAAAAAGACTCTGCATTAGCTCTCTTCCACTATTCATGAGTTTTTCAGAGGTTCTCAAGCACAACAGTCAGCAATTCTGTGTTTACCTCTGCTGAGACCCTATATAATTTTGGTGTTGGTGATTTTTTTGTCCATCTCGTGATATAAAGAAATAGTGTTTCAAATATTGTTTTTGGAATAGTCTAATGTACTGCTGACTGGAAAATTATTACTGAGTTTTGAGTTCATATTGCAGGAGATGGGAAGAAAGGAGAGTTCCTGAATGGGAAAACAGCCTTTCCAATGGCTTCAGACCTCCAAGGTTACAAATGAGTTAGACTCATAATCATACCAAAGGAAAATCAGCTCAACTATACTCAGGTGCAAATATTAGAGTGGTGCTGAAGGTCCATATTTTGACCCAACTCATTTCTAGGACATGAGTTATCATCTTTATGCTCTCCAGATGTTTTGGATCATAATGCCTATCATCTCTAGGAAGCACAGAATTTTTATCACCTATCTAAAGGAATTAAAAGGAGTAATTAAGTAGAGAAAACAAAGTAATCTCTAATCCTTGGAGGTAAGACATGACTTATATACAGTTTAACACAGGAAAGTAGTATGAACACACTTGAAGCTACCTTCCCTATGGAATTTTATACAGTATTTATATAATATAATATTGTCTTTGCAAAAGTGCTCAAGTCAATGCCAAGAACAGAGTGTACAACTGACAAAAAGTTCAATCCTTTTCCAAGGCACATGTTGCCCTTGTTTGCCTCCTGACTCAGCTGAGATTAGATAAGAATATTAGATAGTTCAACAATTGAACCAAAGTCCTTCAACTGCAAGGTTTTTTTTTGGGTTGGTGACCAAATTTCATGCACAGGACAGAAGGACAAGTTTGGGGTGATTTTCCTGTAGACAAAGGCAATACCTTTTATAAATACCCTTGCCAACTTTCCCTGCTGAATGGGGATTAATAGTTGGAGAAAAATAATTATCAAAATAATACAAATAAAAATAAGAAGCAGTCCTTACAACTAAGTCTTGTGCAAGAATACAATATTTTGAACGTTTAATTTAGGGAAATTTTACCAGGGGGGTAACAGATAGGTGTCAAGCTGTCAAATGATGGGGAGAAAGTAGGGAGATGCTTTTGTCTCCTTTATAACACTGGAAGCTGGGCTCATGAAATGAAAGTAAAATATGGAAATACAGAAAAGCAAAAAAAATTCTTTCTTCACATGACTTTTAGTTAACAGGAAATTTGGTATCAAAAGAGTTAGTGGCTGTTATGTTTTTAAAATTATTTTAAAAAAGTAGGACTACACAGCTGCTAAATTTCCAATGCAACATAGCAGGGCTTTCTGGCTATTTATTTGGCTACCTTCTGCAGTCTTGCTTCTGCGGTCCTGTGGGTGTTCTGTGGTCAGGCCTGGGAGGGCTGCTTGGGGGATCCTGGGGCTGGGGTGGGAAAGTTGAGTGAGAATTTGTTGGTCCCTTTCCCCCAAATGACAGCTGGCAGGGGAAGAGTGGCTCTCTATCTGGTGGGTGAGAGCAACTGGGCAGGGTGCCATTTATGCATTGAGTGGACGTATTCTGAGTGTCCCCATCCCATTGCAGACTTCCCTGCTCACATACAGAGTGAAGCAACTTTTGAACAGTCTTCTTGTTGGTAATTTTCTTTTGTTATTGTTGGTATTTCATTTGTCTAATTCCAAGGGAACATGGTTGAAAGGAAGAAGCTATTCTGTAAAGCACTATGAAGTGGTATATAAGTCTAAGTGCTATTGCTATTCTACATGGGAAATCTTGCATGCGGGCTTTCAGTCATATCTGGCCCAGTATGCATTTGCTAACTTTTGGTCTGGTCTAGCACAGATTGTGCTAATCTCCTAGATCAGGAGTCCCCAATTCCTGGTCTGTGGAGTGGCACTGGTCCATGGCATGCCAGAAACTAGGCTGTGCTAACAAGTGACGCCCCATCCATGGGGTGCAGGCAGCAATGAAACCCTACCCCCTCTGGTCCGTGGAAAAACCTCTCTCCACAGAACCGGTCCCTGGAACTCAAAATATTGTTTTAGATGGTTTTGCTTGTCTCCAGTAGGTGATGTTTTTGAAACATATATAAATACAAGTCTTCATTGAACTATCATGGCTAGAAAGAAGCTTTTTATCTTTACCATTGAAACAAATGTTTCTATGTAAGAATCAGGATGAATATATTGAATCACTGGTGATATTATCCATGAATAAAGCCAAAATGGCAACAATAATATAAATTACAGTATAGCGGGGACAGTAATAAATGAAGGAATCTTTAACAAATGGTTAATTGCTTTAACTGTTTTGAATTTTATTTATATAGATTTGTTTATGTTATGTTGTTTCCACTTGTTGCTTCATTAGTTTTATTTTAGCTTGTGAACCATCCAGTCATAAATGTAAAATGGATGGCTATATACATTGCATGAAATAAAATAAAACAAATATGGAAGATACAGAGGATAAAGGAGCCATCATGGCACAGTGGTTAGAATGCAGTATTGCAGGCTAATTCATCTCACTGCCGGGAGTTCGATCCTCACCGGCTCAAGGTTGACTCAGCTTTCCATCCATCCGAGGTCAGCAAAATAAGGACCTAGATTGTTGTGGGCAATAGGCTGACTCTGTAGATGTCCTAGAGAGTGCTCTAAAGCACTATGAAGTGATATACAAGTCTAAGTGCTATTGCTTTTGCTATTGCTAAATCAGGTGATAAATATTGCTGGATTAGAAGGGAAAGGAGAAGACCTTTTCCCAGTGGATTCCTTTTTAAATTGAAGATTTGGCATCAGAATGGGCTCAATTGGTGATAAGAAAAATTTAAGTGCTCATTCCCTAGGTAGACTAGGGTATGTCATAGGGATCAGATCAGTACCTGCCACTCTAATTATTTTTTTTACTGGAAGTCCTCCAAAGAAAAAATCTGCAAGCGTGTTTTAAAATTAAATCTTCTCCCATTTTGTAATTTACAATAACCTGAAAGCAGAATCAACAGGACTGGCAGAAGCCTAGAGTTACACAAAGAACAAAACCAGAGGGTGGGAAGGATGGATTGTGTGCTACCTGGAAGGAAATAAATTAATAATCAAGAGGTATGTTGAGAGTCAGTATAGTGAGGTCAGGAAATATTGAGCTACACAAGGGGGATTGAGGTTCAATCTCCATTTATCAAGAGAGCTCACTAGATATATCTGCACACTGACTCTTCCTCTTTCTTTCCTTAGGGAAACCAATGTGAATTTGCAGGCAGAAGATGTAAT